ATCCAGACAGGAAACACTGAAAAGCAGGAAAAGGGGAAAAATGAAAAGGAAAACAGGACATGTTTTTCTGAAAAGGAAAACAAATTTTATGAGGCTTTATGTCGGTGTGTGTGTTTTAGTTTGATATGTATTTTAGTTTCAGAATGTCTAGAATGTGACAGCATTCTAGTGGACACTCTGCGGATTGTCACTGTCTGACTGTCTGACATTCAGCAGTTTCAAACGTTTCCTTGTGAATCTTGGCAGCATAAAAATGTTGATAATTGATTCAAAGGAGGATGGAAATTTAAAAACGTATGTAAAAAATTTTTTTGTCCGTTTTTCATCATGCATTTAGATTTTTTATTTATTTTTTTTGCTAAATGTCAGATTCTTCTACAATTGTTAAGGAGTTGCCTTAACTCTATCAGCTCAGTGAAGTTTGTGCACTCTCTATCTGGTCTTAAAAGGCCATGAAAATTTCTGTTAGCAGTTTGTCAAAGGCGATGAAGGGAGCACAGCAAACACACGCTGTGGTGGACTATAGCGCAGGGCATTCTGGGAAAATACTGCCAAAACAAACGTGACAGTCTAGCACTAGAGGGAGAAATGGTTCGTGGTTTTATATCAAAACTAAAAAGAAATCCTACAACCACTAACTTCTGACTCCACTTCATTTTAATTTGATTTTAGTGAAGAAGGACGTAAGGCTCAGTGTCTTAAAATCACTGAGCCTCTGATAAGGATTTCAGACCTTCTGAAATCATTATAAGAAGGTCGGAAAATTTCAAAACCAAAGCAAACAGTGATTTTTAAGACTATGACATATTTCTCATTTAAGCTTCTTTCAAGACTAATTTGTCTGACTGGAGTCCTTTGTAATGTTTTACCTTTTCTGAATAAAACTCATTCAGATTCTTGTGCCTCTATGCGGTGATTCCTCATTTTCAGGTTGGAATCCTCTGAGCTTTATTTTCTTCTCGTCTCCTGAAACTTTGTGATGTTAGAAACTTGCAGGATGTTTAAATCCCGGCTCCCTAAATTTTTTTGTTGTTGTTGTTTTTTATTGTCATGGTAGTTTGTTTTCATGCTCCTCCAGCACTGATTTCCATACACACACACACACAGTAGCACCAGATGGGAATAGTGTGTTCTCATCCAGTTGTTTATCTCCTATGGAGTCTGAGAGGCCTGGTAATAACAGGGAAACAGGAAGAGAACCATCATAAATGCAGAGATCAAACACACACACACACACACACACACTCACACACACTTGGCTGTAACTCGGGTCCCATGGCTCTCGCTCCAGCAGTGAGCTCATTAAAATGTGCAAGACGACTCTGCTCGTCCTCATGCTTTCTCATCCCTTCTCAGACTCTTCCTGTTTCTTTTCTTTCCCACGTCATCCTTCTTCTTCACACACCCTCTTACTGATCTGGAATCACAGTGAATCAGGTTCTCCAAACACGCACACGCACACACATACGCACACACACTGCTCAAAATGCTGCTGAAGTTGCGTGTGCAATTGATTGGCGTGCATGGTGAATACCTCCTAGTATGTCTGTGTCTACAAATGTGTGTGTGTTCAGGCCGGGCTGGTTCTGCTGGAGGAATGGTTGCCGGGTAGAACGAGAGGAAAGAAGGAAGAATTTGTTAATTATGAAAGAGGGATTTCTCTCAAATAGTTCCGTGTGTGTGTGTGTGGGTGTGTGTGTGTGTGTGTGCGCGTGTGTGTGTGTGTGTGTGTGTGTGGTATCTCAGGGTATGGGGTAGCTTAAGTGAGAGCATATTTTGTGGTTGTTTTAATCAGACGGCTGCTGGTTAGAATGAGCAGACCAGCTGCTGTGGCAGATCAATGACTGTAGTGGAGATTTTTGAGGTGCTAATGAGCAAGGCACTCATGAAATACCAGACAGTGTGTTTTAAATTAAAACAATAACTTGTGAATTTGAATTAGTGATTTTTTTTTATTTTATTTTATTAAGGGGACTATGCATATTAATCAACAGGAATATGTCATGTAAATATGCCAGAGTTAGCTGGAGAGGCTAATTTTCATCTGGTTTACGTACTGTACCTTTAAGAGCTGGTGTCCTGTCATATGAAGGTTCTGCTAATGAACCATCATTTGATTCCGGTGTGTTAAACAAGGGAAAGAAAACCTTTCGGCCTTTGCTTTGGACACCACTGATGATGATGATGATGATGGCCCATTTAATAAATATGAATGCATTAATATTTTTGTAGGACTTTATTTCATGTCTGTGGTAGACTGCAGATAACATTATGCTCATGGTTATTTACGATACAGTGAACCATTGGTTTTAGGGAGGACAACCACCGACAGACCCCTTCTGAAACCACTTTGATTTGCCAATTTTAATCATTCAAACACCAAATATATTTTATTATGTACAGTGAAAACCATCTTAGCATTACTGCAGAAGCTAATATCTACAGTCCGCCTTACCTTCAGCTCTTATTGTCCATGTTTTCTGTTCCAGTCATTTACATCTCTTATCCTGAATGGTAAACGGCACTGGAAGTCTGATGAATGAGTTCTGTTCTCATAACCCATGATGCTTTGCATGAATTATGTGGGCAATTTCTCACCCACCATTATTAAATCTCTGTTGGGGCTCTGAGTGTGCTGACAATAACTTGTCATCCAGCAGCAAATTACAGTCGAGCTCGTTGAGGGTGTTGATTTTAGAGCCGGTGCATCTTTCTTGGTCACCACTTGCTCAGTCTGTGGTTCTGTAGAACCGGCAGACAGCAGCACCAGTCAGTCCCTCCAGGAGTTTACGACTGTTTTTGTGATTTCTTCCGATCAGTCGCTGGTTTTGTGGTGCTGCTTCAGAAATATTTTGTGATTTTTTTTAATAATTAAATTCTGTCTGAAATGTACATGAAAAACAAAACAAAAGCACAAGGAGACAGACTGGACATAAAAAAAACATCTTTTATATCAATCACGGACAGTAACTTGACATCAAGAAAGGCTCAGATAGCAATGTAGAAGAAGTAATACTGCCACCTGCAGGTAGGAGTTAGCATTTCTGTGAAAAATTTGCAATAAATTCATGATTATGCATTGATTAGCTCAAAAAATGGGCGGATTTGTTGATTTTGTGTGAATTTCCACAATCGCAGAATCATGAAAAACTGGTTGTACCGACCGGGGTTCCAGCAGTTTCCAGTTCACACTTTGTTTCAGCCTCAGTGGATCTGTAACAACTTGTACTCATGTTCAGTTGTTTGAAATTAAGAGTTAGTTTGGTTGGATGAACTCAGTGTCTCCTCTTCTCTGACCTTATCTGAATGTCTTGTACTTTCTTATTGTTCTGATATTGATCAAACCAATGAGTGCTGTCAGTCCTGATCACTAAAGTAAATAGGTCGCCACCATGTTGAGTTAAAAGTCATCCAACAACCAACTCTGTTGGTAAATGTTTTTATATAGTTGGACCTTTACTGCACTTCTAACTCGGACCCTCAGTGTCACAGAAAACAATCCACTATAAATTCAAACTTGCTGGACCAAATTCTTGATTTTAAAGAAAATAAAAAATTACATGAACCATTAAATGCATCAAATTAATGACATTTGTGACTGTTACGAGTTAATAAACTACAGAAGGTTTGAGACTATTGCAGTCAACAGTTGGTAAACAGATTAGGTGTAAACTTCTGGTTTTGCTCTGAAACCCTTGACTTTAAAAAGGTTTCACAGCTTAGACTTTGCTTTTCAAGAAGCAGGTTTTCTCCCCTTTTTTGTGCAAGAAGAAAATCTGAAGCTTTTTCTTATCTCTTATTTGCTTGCGTGAGATCAAGTTTCCCCAGGTTTATTTAAAGTCACTGAGCCATTCTAGTGGCTCTGTGGTGCTGCTCAGATCTAAATGCTTCTGTCTGCACTCCCACTGACACTGCTGGCATGAGGCTCATACATGTCAAACAATATTAGCATTTTACACTTTTTTAGGATCATCAGGGTGAAAGGTACCACATGTTACAAATATGTAAGTAGGCCTATGACTGTTGTATAAAAAGTAGGTCCAAGACTTTAACCTGTTATACTTAAATGTCCCCATAGATTTTTTTTTAACACAATTTTTATATATATATATATACGGGGTTTTGAATTTAAAATATTTTTTATTTTGTTCATACATACAGTTTGATCAAAATGCAGTTAATTAATTACAGACACTGCAATTAACTCCACTAAAACTTTGAATCAAGTCTCATAGTAAAAACAAACTTGGCAGTTTATAAGATGCTTGATTGTATTATTATTGCATCGTCATCAGAAATTGAGTCGTTTTCCAGTTTTAATGTAGCATGTAACACTTTGAGGAAACCTGCTTGTTGCTTTAATCAGAACTTTCCACTGCATGTTTCACCTAAAGTTTGGATCATTTTATTGTTCTTGAGCTGTGTGCACAACTCTTAGCCTTAGCTCTCCTCAGAAATAATCTGAAAAAAAAAAGTAACATGTCCAACTTTACTTCCTTGTTTGGAAGTCAGCGGTGTCTGCCATCCATTGAATCAAACTCTCTGCTCAGCTTTTTTCCATTTAGACCTATTCTCCTAAAATAGACTTGTGTTTACAGTAGCAGGTTAGCCACACTTGAAAGCGGGTCTCTGGGTGCAGCAGCCCCCTCACGGGACACTGCTTTATTTGGGCGAAGCCGGGAGTGTGTGTAGCATCTCCACGATGGCCGATCTCTCTCTTGCATAAATGCTGAGTGTAAAAGGAAACAAAAGCTCTTTAGCTGTCAGTCTGTTTGAAATGTGCGATGACTTTATGAGTCTTGTCTTTACACAGCGTGCTAACAATTTAATGCAAGGTTTGACCTGAGATTTGTGGTCGGTGGAACTAAAACAGGCCTTTTGTGGTAAATGAACAGTAGAATACTTTTTCTGCATTTGTGTGTGTCTGTCTGTGTGTGTCTGTGTGTGTGTGTGTGTGTGTGTGTGTCCTGTTCTGATTCCTGCTTGTCTTTTCCATCCAGGGGCGACCAGAGACATCGGTTCAGCTCTTACCAGGATGTGCATGAGACATCGCAGCATTGAAGCCAAACTTCGCCAGTTCACGAAGTAAGACGTCTTGTTTCCTTCTGTTCCCGGCGTCACTGGTCATACACAGTTCATCTGTCGGAACAAAAACGTTTCATGCTGTTGTCTTGTCTTGCTGAATGAATGGTGTCTGCTGCATTGCTTACCCTCTCCACATTTCAAGGATTGTATTTGAGTACAACCACTGGTATGCATCATAAACCACTCAGGAAGCCTCTCCGAGAGTCTACTCCTACCCACCACTTTCCTCTGTATTCATTCTCCATACTTCTTAATGACTTTTCCACAACAAAAAGCCATTACATTAATGACTGTGGTCATTAACTGTCGATATGGTTGTGCAGGAAAAAAAAGTTAGGCTAAGTCAGTCCAAAATATTGTTGCAATCCCGATTACCTAAAGGTGCCTTGCAAAGACACTCATACCCATAACCCATATTACTCGTACGATTTCACATTTCCTCTCAAACATGTGTTTTATTAATTATCTGAGCCAGACTAATAAAGTAATATCATAGTAATTGCCTAACTTTGACAAAAAAATGAAACATGAAGAGTTTTGTTAAAATCTTGTTACCAATGCTGCTACCCTACAAGCAGTGATAAACCACATAGACTGTTGTCCGACTCAACACATTTAGACAATTGTGAAGACTTTCTCTTCTTCTCTTTTACTGATGCCACTAGTAATTGATGCCTTCCATCTGTCCATGTCTGCGTCTCCTCTAGTGCTCTGATGGAGAGTCTGATCACTCCTCTCCAGGATAAGATTGAAGACTGGAAGAAGACTGCCAACCAGCTGGATAAGGACCACGCCAAAGGTGAAACATGAAACCAGCTGAATGTGCTAATTCATGAAGCCTTATCTGTTGGTTTGGGACTTAAGCTTGGTACAAACAGCAATATTTTAAAATTGTCAGCCAATTTTGAAAACATAAGAGAGCCCTCACATGACGATAAGAAATCATTGGTGTAGTAACTTTGGTCCATCTATGTGAACAGATTTCACTCACCATGAGTTGTTGTGGAAACTGTCTTACAAGCAGATACTGGTTTCCTTTAGGGTTCTTCAAATATTACTTACAGCAGGTTCACTAATGTTTAATTACATCAGTTTCACAGCTTCTTTTCTTTTTACATGGTTTTGTGAGGATACTGAACATCAGCCTAAAAAAGATAATTTAATTTCTTCGAATTATTTTGTTTGACAGAAAATTCCTCTAATTAGTAAGAGTTGGTAACGAGTCAGTATGTCCAATGCTGATCTTTCTTATTATTTTCCCCTCCTAAATACGGAAAATGCCGTGGCAGACCATCATTAACAAGAACTCTGTCAGTTCAGCCAGGTTAATATTATTTATATATGCATAAATCACATTTTTGTAAGTTGTGCAATCAACATTTCTGTAGAATGTCTAAAGAGATGATCTTACTACAACCACACTTGTTCTAACCTTGATTTCCAACTATGGATTCTGACCCCCAAATTTTTATCTTTCTCTCTTTCTCAAACTAACAAATATCCCCTTCTAACCATTTATGGTTTCTGTCAAATAGTTTGATTATGAGTAGACTTAAATGAGAATCTTTAGCTTGTGTCCAACTGTAATGTTTTTCCTTTCAGGCAGTGAAAAGACAACAGGCTTGTGTCGGATCAGTTCACAGACTCAGTTCTGCTAAAGCTAACATGTGAAGCGCGAGGAAAGTTAATTTCACCCTGAGGCTTTGCATTCTCATGTAAAAGCATCTCTGTTTCTCCTCTTTCAAGAGTACAAAAGGTCACGTCACGAGATCAAGAAGAAGTCATCTGACACCATCAAGCTGCAGAAGAAGGCTCGTAAAGGTAACCAGAAGTGATGCTCCGGCTCTGACCTCGGTCATGATCTTTATGTGGAACTTTGGAAAAGCAAGTTTCTTTGTTTTTTGGGGGGTTTTTTCAGCCTTGCTTTTTCTGGGATCCTACCACTATTCACCAGAGCTTTATCAAAATAAAGGAATACATTTATTTTAACTGACTCAATATTAAAGGGGCAGCATCAGGTGATATCGGCTTTTTTGAGCTCTGCGTCATGTTAAAATGATATTCCCTCATCAAAAACAAGCGTGGAGTGTTGCTTTGATTCCTTCATCCAGGTTTGAGAAATCCCTTAATCTCCATGGCAACCATTCAGTTGTACAATGGAAATAGCCCTATCTTTGAGGCGCAGCTCCTCCTCTGACCTTCACCCTTACAGGGCAGCTCTCCCCCACTCAGCCTTCAGACTAGCCAACAGCAATTAGCAACACCTGGTGGAACTGCACATCAGTTGAGCTCATTATATGAGCTACTTTTTAGTGTAACACTTGTGAAAATGTTGTTAAAATGGGTTAACAGTGGAGCCATGTTGGGATGACTTCATGGAGGCAGAGTTTCAGAAAGAGCAGGAGTTTTTAAAAAGACAGAGGCCCAATTTCAAGATGTTAAGTTACAAAGTCAAATTTCATTTGTTATATTTAATAATTATATAGATGTTGTTTGCTCTATAAATTGGACTATGAGCCTGTAAAACACATAGCACTGTCTCTTTAAGCTGCTCTTGTTATCAAAAAACAGGAAGCAGAAACCAAAATTTCCAACTGAAGTGATTGTGAGTTTGAACGATCGAAATAAAATCATTGGTTGGTTTATGCTGCCATCTGGTGACTACTGATAATATTGCAACTCTTGGTATTTAATCTGTGACATTTCTTCAATGGAATTTAAGAAACCATAAATATTTATATATGATATATTTATGTTGTTTGCATTTCATGATGACTTTTATATTTTTTATGGAGTATTTATATTTTTTTCAATGATAACAGCATTACTTTTTTTTATTTTTGAACAAAACAGCTCTCTATATTGATTTAGTATTTTAAATTTATGAATTTATTTCGGACATTCCAGCAAGAGAGAAAAAGAAAAAAAAACATATCAAATTAAAGGTAATAATAATTGCGTTTAAAATAATGTATCACCTTTGTTTTGTTTTTCTCTTGGTGGAATGTCTGAGATAAATTCATAGATTCAAAATATCATAGCGAGAGCTAAATAAACAACAACAAAAAAACCCCCAGAAAAATACTGTTATTAATAACTAACTAATAAATACTCCATAATATAAATGTCACTATAAAATACATACATCATTGTTGATAATGGTTCTACACAGAACCAGACCTGTGTAACCTGATAACTGAACAGTCATGTGTGAGTTTTGTCCCAGCTGAAGCCTGGTGATATATTTGGTTCTGGATTCATTTTTGGTTGTTGCTGCATTGTTTTGCTCTAACCTGCTGCACTGCGGCTGTCCTGATGGCTTCTTTGTACTAACCTTAACAATAAGTTCTGCTATTTATGCTCTCTCCCTCTCTCTCTCTCTCTGTCTCCCTTTTTCTTCTTTTTTCCCCCCAATTTTGCTTCTATTTTTGCTGCCCCACCCCTCCCCGCTCTTACCTGCCACCGTCTCTCTGTCCCTCCGTCCCTGTGGCATTTTGTCTCCCTGTAATAGAGATGCAGGGTAAGTATCGGTCTGTCACTCACCGCTGCTCTGCGGCATCAGTCTCTTTGTCATCCTGTCTGTCGTTGTTTTAGACGTGAGAGCAGAGGGTTTGATTTGACTTTGTCACTTTAGATAAGCAATTAAACTTTTGTGGCTCAAAGGAGTCAGAATAAACCTTCTGCCCAAACCTCAGAGTTTAAGTGGAAGAAATTAGCCAACAGTCTGGTGTCATTTTATCAAATTATCTTTATTTATAACTGATAAGAGAAAACAGCCTTTTTTTCTTACTTAGATCACCACAAAAAAAAAAAAAATGTAAGAACATTTTTTTTGTTGCATCATGTTCCTGGGCTACAAACAAAATACATTGTTTTCCTTTTCCTTAAGAACAAAGCTAACTTAGAGAAAACTAAATTCTGATGGGTTCTTTACATCACGAGTAAATGTTGTAGAGATGAACAAACGTAGCTATGAAGAGAAAAAGTAAGACTTTAAACTGAAAATGAATGCGATTGGTCCTCCAGATCACACTATTTCTGTAATTTAGCTTAGCTGATAAACATTAGCATTAACACAGATTACTGTGTCCTCTCACACTTTGGTTGCCCTGACCTTCAAATGGAAAACATTTCTAGAGAACTGCAGTCTCTAAACAACTTTCTTCGAAGTTTCGGTCCCCTGAGGATGGATTAGAGTTCAGCCTCTATAGCAGCTCGTCTTTGTTGCCTGATGTAACGGAACTTTCTCCTTGACTCCTTCGTGACTTTTGTAGCTCGTGTTATTAGAGCTTTGTAGTGACACTGCAGGCTTTCTGCTGTCATGCTGCCACTCCTTTGCTACTCTCTCTTTCATTACATCCCTGATAGTACTGACATCTGCACTGATTTGTGTTGCATGCTGTAACACTACAGAGGTTCATTTCATGTCTTACTTTCTATGCATTGCATTTCACTTTTACTCTTCTAGCTAGCAAACAGCATCTGGATTTTCTGTTATGTTTTGGCTCTACACCACGGGGCGTTGTTTGTAAAGATACGGCAAAAAATGACGATTTGGGTTATTTGTCCTGCCATAACGGAATAAGATGGTGTTTATACATATATATATATATATATATATATATATATATATATATATCATTTATGAATAAATAGTTAGGAAGATAAATATTTAGGTTGCTAAGTATTTAGATCAAAGCTAAATATTTAGTTAGCGAGCTAAACTTTAGCTCGCTAACTAAATACTGTATATAGTTACCAAGCTAAATCCATAGTTCGCCAGCTAAATATTTAGTTAATGCTCATTATTCGGATTGCTAGCTAAATATTCCGATTGAAGCTAAATATTCTGTTTGTTAACTAAATATTTAGTTTGTAAACTAAGTCTGCAGTTTCTAATTAAATATTTAGTTTTAATCCGGGTCATTTTTAAATGAATGAATAACATGGTGAAAATATCTTTTTTTCTTATGAAAGGCTAAATGACCCAAATTATAGCTGATTTTTGACAGTGTAACTTTTCAAACGGCAGCCATGCTACACTGGCATTGGACCAGTGCTGATGCTGTAACACATCAGAGTAAAGTTCTCCTCCACTAAGATTAGCTTTTATTTATGTTTTAATACTGGAGTACAAAGAGGCAACAACCTGGAGCTGCAGCGACTTGCAAAGTATTCATACTTTAAAATGATTTTATGATGTGACAAAAATGTAGGGTTAGCTAATGAAACTATATTTGTCAGAGAAGCAGTAAAGATGCACATATTACTGCACACAGCTCAGGTGGGAGAATCTGCCCACATGGCAGCTAGTGGTCATGCACTCCACAAATCTGGTTGAATATGATAATAACATAAAACATTAATCCTTCTGTGACACACGGTGGTGGCAGCACCATGATGTGGGGATCCTTTTTGACAGAAAAACTGCTCAGGAAGAGCAGCAGAACACTTGAAGCTTAGCCTTCCAGAAGTACAACAACATTGAAGATACACCCAGAGCTGCAATGAAATGGCCTATTCAAAGTCCAACAACAACAACAAAAAATTCAAACAATATAGAAGTGGATATTTTTGCAAGTCGCTGTAGATGTAATCTCTCACCTTCCTTCTTTCATTCCTCAGTCCTCTTCTCCAGCTCTCCTGTGCTGATCTGTGTCAACCCACCTCACTTCACTGAAAAGTGTGTTCTGTGTTTACTGGCAGGGCGAGGCGACCTGCAGCCGCAGCTGGACAGCGCCATGCAGGATGTGACCGACATGTGTCTGCTGATGGAGGAGACAGAGAAGCAGGCGGTGCGCCGCGCCCTGGTGGAGGAGAGGGGGCGCTTCTGCACCTTCATCGGCTTCCTTCAGCCTGTGGTGGTGAGGAGGAAGCCAGCCAATCGGACCCTGGTTTACCGTTCAGTGTTGGCCTGGTAGAAAAACGAAGGATGCGACGGTCACCAGATTATCATTATAGTTCAACTAAATTTGGTGCAAAGTTAGCGCACACACTGACTATGAAAAGATCTCTAGCTTATTAACGAAAATTATTGAAAACTTGTAAGTGGAAATAAAAGTAGCATTTCTTTAAGAAAAACAGGAGAGAAGTGGTAAATAGATGGACAAGAACACAAACCTGAAGAAGGCAAAACCTTTCCAAGAAACTGCTGGATTCTGGAGATTTTATACCAACAGCGCCCTCTGCTGCTCAAATGGTTTAAGGCATTAAATGAATTAATACACAGATTTTAGTCATACAATATCTAGATATTTTTTTTACGTTCCTTCCTTGTTCATGTACAAAATTAAATTAAATTAAATTAAACTCAGCCAGGGTTCCTAATTAATCAGGCAAAATAAAGCTGAATAATAATAATTGTAAGTTATTCAGTCGTTTCATATCAGCACTAAATCAAGAGGGAAACAATGTTTGTTAATCTGCTTTGCTGCTGCCAATGAACTTTTCTTTCTCTGCAAACAAGTCGATATTTTTCTGCAAATATGCAAATGAGATCTGTGTGAAACATCTAGCAGATTTTTGTTTTTTGACTATTTCAGCTTCAAGGTTTTTTTTTTCATTTATAAAACATTTTTGCACTTATTATTCATGAATAAAAACAACAAATCATCTGGAAAAAGAATCACAGAGCTATTCAATACTAAATGTTTGACGTTAAATCTAAATTATTTAATAACCTGATGTCATTATTTACATAATAAAATCTCAGATCCAGGGTTTGCCTTCTGTTTAAAGAGTAGTTTTCATTTCTTTTTAGACACTAAAAAGTTAAATTTGCAAGGAAAAATACGGTTTTTAATACATTTATAATATTAAGACTAATCCCTGACATTGCAAAGTCAGAAATTTGAGCCACATAGTGACAGCCGTCCACTCAGGTTTCAGTGGTAGATGTATTGGATTGGCATCCTGGGGCTCGTGTATAAAACAGCGCACAGCTTTCCAGTGGTGGAGAAAGTACTCAAAAAATGTACTTAAGTAAAAGTACAAATACACAGACAAAAATGTACTCAAGTAAAAG